CTATGCAGACTTAAGCAAGGCCTAGATCTAGGAAAAGAGGAGAGAAGCCCAAATATGGCGACGTGTGTGTCAAGGGTCGCTTAGGCTTATGACTCCTGTCACCCAGAGATCAATATTTTGATGCTATAAAAGGTATGTGGGAGAGTTCTGGTTCAAGGCCAGCCTGGCCTACCTAGTGAAACTATCCATGTCTCAAAAACAAAACAAAATCTCGATTGATTCTGCCAAATTATCCTCCAAAAAGACTGTACCAAATTATATTCTTACCCTCACTAGGTAAACACTTTTTTTTTTTTTACATTAGATGTTGTGGTTGTTCTTTTAAAATTATTTTAATCTTATGTGTATGGATGTTTTACCTGAATGGATGTCTGTGCACCCTGTGTGCCTGGTGTCTGTGGAGGTTAGAAGGGGTTTTGGATACCCCTGAATTGTCCTTACAGATGGTTGTGAGCTGACGTGTGGGTGCTGGGATTCAAACCCAGCTAGAACAGTCAGTTCTTAGCCACTGAGCCATCTCTCCAGTCCCTAGCTAATATTAATAAATTTTATTTTGATTAATCTGATGGCTGGAAATGACCTCTCTTTGATTTACACTTTCCTGGTTATTGCTACTGTTACAGATATTTTCACATTTTTGAATTTTTTCTATATATTTACTGGCTATTTGAATTCTTATAAATTAAATATATGAAAGATCTTGAGAAAGAAGAGATCAAAGAAGACTTGTGCTTGAATATGAATATTGGAGATTTTTTTTCTCTGTAGATGTTTTTCCTACCCTCTTCCCCCAATAAAGAAAAATGTCAAATTCAGGTAATATCTATATGTAATATGAATACATTAAAATATGTTGTGGGTCAAAAATTAATATTAATGCAACCTAGTTAGAGGAAAGAAAAGGGGACAGAGTCCAATCCCTGTGCTGGGTCCTGGGCAAAAAATGCCATGATGAGAAATAAGCACTTCTAGACTGGAGGGGGAAGTCGGAATTCCACCTGGGCAGGAATTACCTAAGGAGAGCTCATTGCTGCAGGGGGCTCTGTGCAGGATGCTGGGTTCTGCCAAGCCGTATTCCACGAGGTGGCAGTAAAGCCCCACTCAACAGAAGTCATATCTCTCCCAAGGGGGGAAATGCTAAAACCTGTGATGAATTTTATGTGAGAGCTAATATCTGTTCCCTTTTGTCCGAGCATCGGAAAATGGTCATTTTCTTATTATTGTAGATTTAATCGTGTGTATGTGGATGTGTGTGTGTCTGTGTGTGGGTCCGTGCACATGTGTATGGGTGCGCATGGATGTGAGAGGCATCAGAGCCTCTGCAGCTGGAGTTAGAGGTGCTGGGAACCTAGCTCACTGAGCATCTCCACAGCACTCTTCTCTGTGTGTGTTTGTTCTTGTGAAGGCACAGCGTGGTGAGGTGTAGTCAGTCACTGAACTTAGATGGCCTGGGAACACCATAACGGGGCATCAGGAGATTCCATCAGTGCAGTGGGGCTCCCCGGTGGGCATTGCCAGTGCAGTGGGGCTCCCCGGTGGGCAATGCCAGTGCAGTGGGGCTCCCCGGTGGGCAATGCCAGTGCAGTGGGGCTCCCCGGTGGGCAATGCCAGTGCAGTGGGGCTCCCCGGTGGGCAATGCCAGTGCAGTAGGGCTCCCTAGTGAGCACTGTCAGTGCAGTGGGGCTCCCCAGTGAGCTATGTCAGTGCAGTGGGGCTCCCCAGTGAGCAATGCCAGTGCAGTGGGGCTCCCCAGTGGGCATTGCCAGTGGAGTGGGGCTCTCCAGTGGGCATTGCCAGTGGAGTGGGGCTCCCCAGTGGGCAATGCCAGTGCAGTGGGGCTCCCCGGTGGGCAATGCCAGTGCAGTAGGGCTCCCCAGTGAGCACTGTCAGTGCAGTGGGGCTCCCCAGTGAGCTATGTCAGTGCAGTGGGGCTCCCCAGTGAGCAATGCCAGTGCAGTGGGGCTCCCCAGTGGGCAATGCCAGTACAGTGGGGCTCCCCAATGAGCACCGTGAGCACACTATTTATCCAGGCTCCAGGAGTTCATGAAACACACTGGGGACAAAGAAGCCTGGGTGGTCATAATCTCCTCACAGCCTTTGTGATTATCAGGGCTCCCCAGATGCCATTAGGTGGCTGGGACTCCTAGGTCAGCAAGGCAGAACAGTGACTGGTTGGGAAAGTGGACGTGATGATAAAGAGCTGTGGACGTTTTGTGGAATATTACTTCAACTAGGCAGAGATGTGTTACATTTGTTTATGTTGCATTTGTTTAACTTTGTAAAGTTGTGTTTATGCTGTGTTTGTTTAACGATGTAAAGATGTGTTGCCTTGCCTGCCTAAGGCAACTGATTGGTCTAATAAAAAGCTGAATGGCCAATAGCTAGGCAGGAGAGGGCGGGCGGGCGGGTGGGCAGAGAGAATAAGTAGGAGGAGGAATCTAGGCTCAAGAGGGAGAGAGAGAAGGAGGGAGAAAGAGAGGAAGATGCCGGGCTAACCAGCCAGCTGCCAGGCAGACACAGAGTAGGACATACAGAATGAAAGAAAGGTAAAAATCCCTGAGGCATGACGTAGATGAAGAGAAACAAGTTAAAATAAGTTACAAGAGCTAACAAGGAATGAGCCTAAGCTAAGGCCAAGCGTTCATAACCGTGTCATGATTTGGGAGCTTGTTGGTGGCCCAAAAGAAAGCCTGCTACGTGGACATCATCAAGAGCTCTGAATGCAAGACAATGAGTTGACGGAGTCACGAAAGTAGATTTGCTTCCCAAAATGAAGCTGGGGACATGGCCGGAGGCAGAGGGACAGGAATGCTGAGCAGGCCACTTTGAGAGTACCAGTCTCTCAAGGCTCTGACTGTCTTCAGGACTGACTGGAAACACGGTTCTCAAGTGTGTCGTGTAAGGCAGTGGTAGAATGTAAGTCAGTCCTCAGAGTGAATGGAAATTGGAAAGAGAATCCACACTGGCCTCAGCTTTCTCCCTCGATTCTGCTAATTTGCATAATGTAGACCCAGCCCTGATGGCAGTTAGAAAATCCAGCTGCCATCAGTCCACTGAAATTCTCAGTTTTAAAACTGCTCAGCAGAATGTTTTAGAGGAAACTGTCATCTATTTTATGTCTAAAAATTAAGTCTTTAGTCCACTTCTCAAAGCAGAAACATCACTGAAGGAAACTGAGTCAGGAAGGATGGGAAAGAGGCAAGTGTTGCTAAGATGGAGACCCGGGGGCTTTAACAGACTTCTGCTGTGTTTCATGACAGTACCCCTCCCCCCCCATGTCCTGAGCAGAGCAGTGTCTGATTCTTTGAGTGGAAGAAATTGTGAGACATTTCCAAAGTTAAACTGTTGATTTTATGCAGAACATGTAATGAACCCTTGTCTTTTGTGCACCAGCGCTGGGGGGAGGTCCTGATTCCTTGGGGGACACTCTGCTACTGAGCCATACTCCCCACCCATAGACTTAGGTCTTGACCTGTTCCTGCAGAGGGTTGTTTTTGTTTTTAAGATTTATTTATTTATCATGTATACAGTGTTCTGCCTGCATGTATACCTGCATGCCAGAAGAGGGCACCAGATCTCATTACAGATGGTTGTGAGCCACCATGTGGTTGCTGGGAATTGAACTCAGGACCTGTGAGAGAGCAGGCAGTGCTCTTAACCCCTGAGCCATCTCTCCAGCCCTGGTTTTTGTTTTTTTTTTTTTTTTTAATTTTATTTTATGTTCATTGATGTTTTGCCTGCTGATGAGTCTGTGTGAGAGTGTCAGATCTTGGAGTTATAGACAGTTCTTAGCTGCCGTGTGGGTGCTGGAATTTGAACCCTCATCCTTTGGGAGAGCAGTCAGTGCTCTTAACCGCTGAGCCATCTTTCCAGTCCCCCCCCAACCCCCACAGAGGGGCTTTACAAAGAGGATTGGACTCAGAGTTTTAAAGAATATTTATTTTGAGTTTATGTGTATGGGTGTTTTGCCTACATGTATGTATGTGTACCACATTCATGCCTGGTGCCCACAGAAGCCAGAAGAGGGCCTCAGATCCCCTGGGACTGGTTACAGACAGTTGTTAGTCACTGTGTGGGTTCTAGAAATTGAACCCTCTGTAAGAGCAGCAAGCCATTTCTTCAGCCCTGTCCCTAACCCTAGTTTTTTTGTTTTTTAAGTAATTAATGCTGCTGAGAAAAGTTTGAAAAATTAAGTGCAGGTTTCTCTGTCTCTAGCTACCAGCTTACCCTCTAAAGTCACTGAATGAGAACTATATTTGCAGCAAAATGGAGAAAAGTTTGTTTTCAATCTCCTGAAAGGTTAAAAGCATGCACCAGCTCCCATTCTCCATCAAATGCCTCAGGATCGCCTGCCTGAGAACATGATACTCTCTTTCAGAATTAGCAAATTCAGAAATTTAACTGATATAACATCGTTACCAGATGCATTGTTCATATTCTAAATTTGCCAGGTGTCTGAGTCCCTTACGGCCACCTCCCTGGCCTTCCCACTCTGGGATCTACCAGGGATGGCACATACCTGTAGTGTGCAGTGACAAGAGACCTGCGTCTTCAACTTTCACCTTTCATGACAACAATTTTGAAGATACTGGTTTTGAAAATGTCCCTCCATTTGCGTTTGTTTTAGGGTTAAATTGAGCTTATCTGTATGGAACACAACCAGAACAGACTTACCTGGGTTATTCTTGCCTCAAAGACAAAGATACATTAAAGAATGACCATATCCCTCTGAAAGACCCTTTTTGCTTCAAAACCAGCTGCATGTTCAAAGGAATGCATTGGAGAAACTAGTTTACCATGAGGCATCGATGGCCCAAGACTGGCCCCCGGCTCAACAAACTAGCCAGGAGCCACCATATTTTAAAAGCAAAATTTATGAAGCTGAAGAAATGACACAAAGCGTGTTCAAGTCACAAAAGCTTATGCTTTTATTGCAAACGTGTGCTGCCTCTCACAGAGGCACCTTCACCCGTGTGTAGGGAAAGGGTTGGTGTTTCATCTCGTTATCTGAAGAGCTTTCTGTAAAACCCTGCACGATTCGCCCACTTTCAGCAATAGACCCGATGATGGACATATTGAAGCTGTCAGTCGCCCTCAGTGGGTGACCCGAGGTTTGCCTACCACCTAACAAGGCCTTGTCAGGGGCTAGATCTCAGAACTGCTGCATTTTAAACTTGTGTTTATTATTATTGTTGTGTGTGTGTGAGAAGTGTGTGTGTTATGGGGAGGCACATGTGCCGCAGTGTAAACACGGAGGTCGGAAGACGATGTGTATAGACAGTTCTCTCCACAACCTTCTGTGGGTTCTGTGTGTTCACACTTAAGCAACCAAACTTGCGCAGCAAGTTCCTTTACCTGCTAGGCTGTCTCCCACAGGCCCAGAACTGTTGATTTTTAATTGCAGAACTTCTAATGTTGGGAGAAAGAAAGCCCCAGTCAAAACCCAGGTTTGAGACAGTTGGGTGCGGGGAGCATGCCAAGTACATAGGCGCACAGGAAGAGAAACGGAGTCAAAATCTAAATCTTCATCTTTCTTCACGTTTGCCAAAGGGTGGTCTTTTTTCTGGTTTGTTTTTCTTTCCTCCCCACAAACGGGGAACGTGTCAAGTTTATTTCAAAATATAGTTTCTTGAGGAGGATTCAGATAGGTTTTAACCTGAACCTATAAATCGGAAGGAAATGTCTGCTCTTACACCGGTTGCGACGATGGCTGCATTTTTCCTTTCGTCATTTGAGGCAGGGAGGAAGCATGCTGGCATGACAGACAACCCTGTCTTCTGGTCCTGGGTGTCCATTTCCAGAGTTCGCATGCATTTGTGTTAGTATGTTGTTGTTGTTTTCCTTTGTAGCAGCAGTGACAGCATCATTTGTGCATAATTCTTGAGAACACGTGGAAGCCACTGGCCACACGCACAGAGCCCAGGTTCCCAGGACACAGGCAAGCTGAGTAATGCAAGCAAGAGGTGGGCTTTGTAGCCGTCAAACAGACAAGGGTACGGTTGTCGTTCACCTGAGAGCGCAAGGTCCCCACAGTTGAGTTGGAGTTTACTAACATCCAGGTAATTTTTAAACTAAGCTTTTGGTTAGAACCATGCTGAAAGTTTGAAGGGAAGTATTTCATTTACCTGTGACTATGTGATGATTACAGGAGAAACAGTGAAGTATTTAGCAAATTAATATGCCCAAGTAGTTAACAAAGAAAGTTAGGCCGGGCAGTGATGGCGCACGCCTTTAATCCCAGCACTTGGGAGGCAGAGGCAGGCGGATCTCTGTGAGTTCCAGGCCAGCCTAGTCTATAGAGTGAGTTCCAGGACAGGCTCCAAAGCTACACAGAGAAACCCTGTCTTGAAGAAACACCCCCCCCCCCAAAAAAAAAAGAAAGAAAGAAAAAAGAAAGGACGTTACAGTTCAAATAATTTGGGTTTGGTAGTTCAGTGTACAATTAAAGTTTTACCTAGGGCCACATTCTCTAGAAGGCTGTTTGCTTTAAGCTTTAGAATTCCTTTTAAAGTTCACTTTGTAGATCTACCTACTCTCTATGTTTCCCAGTGTCTTTAATTTCTGCATCTGGCTCATAATGGTCTCTTTAAAATGTCTTCCACTCTAATTTGAAAGAGTGGGTTAATTAATACTGCTGGTGTCTAAGTATGGATAGAAATTATTGGAACAGCCCATCTTTAGATTTTATTTGCATTAACATCCTGTGGGGTAATAATGAATCTGTTACTGCCAGGTTTTGTAAACAAAAATGTGTAATCCGATCTCTTCATTGTTGACCAAACAACAACAACAACAAAACCCACAACAATCTACTGAATGGCACTGAGGGTGTTTAGTTTTCTAACGCGGTGATTGTAGACTGGAGAGAGAAACGATTTCATTGTCTTCGGTTCTTTCGTTGAGTGTGTTTGGGCTTCTCACTTCTCTACGCTTTCCTCAGATGAGCTTCTACTCTGGAGCAGTCCTCCGAGGAAGTACCTCCCAGCATTCGGTCCACCTCGTGGCGGGAAGAAAGGACGGAATGGGAAGCGGTGGTTGTAGTTTGGAAGGAGGAAAGGTCCATTAGGAAGCCTCGGGTAGAAGCCCGGCCTTCTTGGTGGAAAATAAAGCCACACCCACCGGGGTGTCCTCGGGTTGGGTTGGACCCTGGTTAAGGTAGGCTTCCTTGTGGAGGGCGGCGGAGGGGTGAGTGTGACGATCTGGCAGTCTGTAGGGTTCACGTTATTTGGTGAGCTGTCAGGAGGGGTGACGACATCTTGTCCTGTGGAAATGAAAACGTAGGTCAAGCTGGGCCCGGCAACAGAAGCGGAGAAAGATGCCTCGGGGTGAGGGTGGGAGAGGGATGCGAAGAGGAACTCGGAGACATTTTAAAGCATGACTAAAGTGAACTGCAGTGGTCCGAGGAAACGAAGCATGGACACACCTAATGGTCCCCATTTCCATCTGGGGAACTGACCCCAAAGAAATACATGCGTATTTATCCAAAGATACTAGTTCAAGCTTGTTCATAGCAGCCTAAACGATCCAAACGCCTATCAACAGGAGACTAGCTAAATAAACCATGTGTAGTCACACAATGAAACAGTCTCCAGGAATGAAAAGGAATAACAGCCATTATCTAGAAACCCAGATGAATCCATGTCTGTTGAACAAAGAAAATTAGACAGAAAGGATGCACATTGTAAGAGTCCATTTATATAAAGTTCAAGAGTAAGCAAATGGAAGCTACGGTTAAAAAATAAAGCAGACCAGTATGGAGCAGAGGGTCAGCCCAAAAGTCGTTTCATGGAGGGATTAACCAAGAAACTCTTCAGCAATGTTCTACACCTTGATCTTGATGGTTATTAAGTAGATTTGGATATATGTAACATACACACGCAGACATACACACACACACACACACACACACACACACACACACACAGGTATAAAATGTGGTGAAGCTGTACTTTTAAGATTAGAGGGCATTTTTTATATGACTTATAACAAAATAAGGAAAACTCATTGAAATAAAAAAAAGAATTTATTTACTATTAAGAAAATAAGCTGGGCAGTGGTAGCACATTCCTTTTAATCCTAGCAGTCAGGAAACAGAGGCAGGCAGATCTCTGTGAATTCAAGGGCAGCCTGATCTACAAATGAGTTCCAGGACAGCCAGGGCTGTTACACAGAGAAAACCTGTCTCGAAAATCCAAAAAAAAGGGCAGACAACTCATTTTTGAGAAGAAATATGAATGTAGCCAAGTGTCAGGTCTTCCCAGGCTTGAATCACCCAGTTGAGTTGGTCTTTGCTGTGCAGAGTTCTTTGGCTCAGAACATATCAATATAGACAGGCGAAGACTGGGCAGACGTGAACGGTGGAAACATGAGCATCCCACAGGAAGCTGAGAGTTCTGATGAATTTAAGGACAACTAGGTCCTCTCCCTCTTTAGGACAGATGATTTGAGCTTCTGGGTTGCACTGCATGTGCTTATCTAACTACTAGAGTCCTTAGTTCCTTTTCCATTCACAATTCTTAGAAATGTCAATCTTGAATGCCTGGGTATGGCTGATTGGGCTGTTGGTAGATACTCAACACACTCACTAGCTAGTCACCGAGGAATTAGAACTACTGGAGTTACAGATGGCAGTGAGCCGCCTTGTGGGTGCTGGGAATTGAACCTGGGTCCTCTGGAAGAGCTGTCAGTGCTCTTAATCACTGAGCCATCTCTCCAGCCCCATCATCTTATTTCTTGATACCTGAAGCTATTCTCTAAATTCCGTGGTGATTGGGGGCTAGAGCATGGCAGGCAGATTTTCTCCCAGGCTGTCCTGTAGTTTAGTACTCTCTTCTGGGACTCCTCCAGGGCCCAAGATCAAGGTGCTGCTTGCCTCTATCACCCACACGAGGCAGTCGACAAAACCATATAAACATACTTGGATATTTTCCCAGTAAACTCATCACATGGCGATTATATTGGGTCACTACATAGAAACACAAGTGTTCTGAAATGTAAGAACCATGACTGAAGCAATGGCTCAGTGGCTAAGAGCACTGGCCACTCTTTCAGAGGACCCAAGTTTGATTCCCAGCACACACATGGTGGCGTATAACCCCCGATAACTCTAGTTCAGGAATCTAACACCCTCTTCTAGTCCTCTTGTGTACCAGGCATGCAGGTGGTATGCAGACACACATGCAGGCAGAACACCCATACACATAAAATAAAAATACAAACCTCACTAGAAATCAAATGTAAGAGCCCTGGGAGTTGGTTTGGAACCTGCCTTATGTTACAAAGTCAAAACTGCCAGTGGAAACTGAGGCCATCTGTGCTTTGTCCCCTGGCTCCACTGACCCTGCCCATCTGTCCTCCCTTTGACCTTGTTCAACCCACTTCCTGTCAGTCTCTTTGTTTTCTCCTCAAACTGCCTCCAAAACTCTAGTCATTATTTGAAGAATTCTACCTCCCCAAGATGACTTAATGTCACATTTCAGAGAGAAAACTGGGCGATCTGCCATGAACTTTTTAGGTTTTCCTTTTGTTAAAGATCTGTGCATCAAGGTGAGGATAGGACTAAAGTACATTTCCTTTTGCTGTGAATGATGTACATGTTCGACCACTTCCACAGCGACTGTCTCCTCCACTCTACAAATGCTACTTTAGCAGAGCCCTAATATTCCTGGGCTTAACATCTGGTTCCAGATGTCTAGAGTTCCACTTTCGACCTCTTTCCCCTAGATCTCTCATCTAGTCCCCAAGTGAGATCTCCTTAGGGAGGTCTTCTCTGCCTGAAGGCTGGGTGATGGCCCCTGGCAAGAGCTTCCATAGCAGCCTTGGCTCACCAGCATCGCACTTGTCAGTGATGCGGCTATCATTCCTGAGCTACCCACTGGCCCTACCTCAGTGCCTGTGGAAGAACTAAACCAATCGAGAGAAATCTCCATTTCTATAATTGCAAGAGTTGCTGTATTCCTACCTGTTGGGGACAGTGTGATGATTAACACATATTTCCCACCCATCACACACTGCCATACCGGCAAAAGCACTGGGTGTCAAAGATAAGCATCCCGAAAAACTTAACAAGATCAAAGTAGGTCACATCTTTGAATGCTGATTGAAAACAACTGGAGAGGCAGGGCAGTGTGATGCTCCAGAGGCAGGATCCCCAAGTTCTGCTTCTAATATTGTGAGAATGGGCAGATCTCCTCACCCCGGAGGCTTTCTCCTTATTTGTAAGATGGAAAGAATAATATGGCCTATCCAACGGGCTTCTGAGACTATCCAAAATAAGATACTCATGGTCCTGAAAGTTTTTCGTTGCACAGTACACATTTAGTAAGTTAGCTATCATCATTGTTAGTTGTTATGGTTGGGGATGCTGTAGAAGGATTTTTAGCAGCACAGGCTCCAGTTCTTAGGTCTACATGCTGATATTTTATACATGATCTGTGCATCAAGGTGAGGATAGGACTAAAGTACATAGTTGTGTAAGTGTAGGACCTTGAAGACAAGGGATTATTGACTCTGTTGGCCACTGCTGATGTCCTTAGTACCGGGGACACTTCCGGATGACAGTGTTACTAGTGATACTTGGTGCACTCACTAAATGGCTAGGCAGACACTGGCTGTTCTTCTCAGTGTTTTTGTGGTACTCAGTGAGCACTTAATTCCTATTTTAGATAATAATTTATATTTAAAATTGAAGTACTGTACAATAAAAGCCAAAATGTTGTTTGGAGTTTGGGTTTCAATTTTAAATAGGCTTATTATAGTCTAGACATGAAATTTATAACATACCCAAAACCTAGCACTTTTGGAAAAAAAAAGGAACGATGAGAAGATCTTTTTATAATTACCTGTACTCTGTGGTTAACTGGGCAGACAATAGCTGTTTTGTAGTGAACTGTCATGATTTTTAGAGACGCAAGCTTGGGACTTGATGTCTACGTACACCATTCTTCCCTTACAGAGCACCTGGAGTCTTAGAATTCCCACGCCCTTTCAGACTTTAACCACAAAGAAATGTCAGTGCCGTGGTTAACTGATTCATAGTGATTGTAACTTAATTCATTTTTGTAGACTCAGAGAACAGTTGAGTCTTTTTTGTCAAATCCCTCCTTTGAAAGATACAGAATTTAGAGCCCAGAAAATGTCCTACTGGCCCCTTTCAGTATGTTGTAAGTGAAGTCGGTTCAACAGTGAGCATGTCGCATGTCAGGTGCCGAACTAAATGCAGAGAAGACAGACACAGTGCCTGCCTCTGGGGACTGGGAAGATACTACATATATACAGATTTTCAGTACAGAGTGGAGTGGAGCATCATGGTAGGGGATGTATTGATTGTAACGACAATCCAAAGATGTCAGAGAAAAAAAACCCGTTATTTTAAAGTAATATGTCTTAAGAAAGACTTGCAAGAGCAATAGTATAGTCACATTTAAGTGCTGCTACTTGAAGCAGAATTGCAGAAAGCAGGTGTAAAGCAGGAAAGGAGCAGCCGCTGCTATGGATGGGCGAGGGCAGAGGGAATGTGGGACACATGTGACCCTGTTGGGCAGTCTGTCCTAGGACAAGGAGAAGTGAGTGAGGACCTAGAACCTAGGCTGCCAAGCTCAGAGATCAGTTCTCACATTTCAAATGATATTTTTATTTGTTTGAGGACGTGGTTTTACTGCGCAGCCCTGGCTGTCCATCATGGAACTTGCCGAGTATACTAGGCTGGCCTTGAACTCACAGATAGTGCTGTCATTCCAGGTTGGCATTGCTAGCTTGGTAACCATAGTAACAATAATGGCATTTGCGTAGTGCTTTTAATGTGAGTTTTCTGGTTTTTGTTTTGCATATAGCTCAATGGTCCTCTTCAGCCCTACAATAATGCATATTAATAGGGTCACTTTACATATGAGAAATTCATGTGTAATGCTCACGGAAGTTACAAGTGTCTCAAATCACAGAGCAAATGCTGAGACTCAGATTCAGATCTTCAGATGAGAAAATCCAGCCTTTCATTTAACCACACGAGCTGATGATAGCAGATCTAAACATTCCCAATTTATGGAACTATGTAATCATGGAAGCCACATTTGTCTTTCCATATGGTATTAATTATTTCACCCACACATAGTAGTAGATTAAAAACCCAAACTCTTACCTTCTGCCATAGTTACCACCAACCAGCAGACCAGGACCCAGAAGTGGAATCCAGGAGCCATGGCTTCTGCCCTGAGCACTCACACTGCTCTGGACCCAAGGCTGCTTTAAAGGAGAGTGAGTGAGTCACCAGCAGCCTGATTCAGGCAATTAGCGTGTGCAGAGTGGACCACAACCACCTGGCCCTCTGGTGTGAGGGTGAGAAATTCTCCAGGAAATGCCAGACAGCGCTCATCAACCCGAAGCTTCTTGTAATGCCAGGCAAACACTGTTCACTCGTCTTCATTTCGGAACTTCTCCTTCGCTGTCCTTCCAGTTCCAAACACTCCCCCACCTCACTGCCTTCTCCTGACTTGTATCTGTGGTTCTCCAACTGCACAGGAAGGTACTTGGTTACTATTATACTGCTGTGACAAAGCACTGTGACCAAAGCAAGCCACAGAGCAGTCGTTCTCAACCTTCCTAATGCTGTGACCCTTTAATACAAAACCTCATGTTGCAGGGACTCCAGCCACAAAATTATTTTCATTGCTACTTCATAACTGTAATTTTGCTACTGTTATGAATAGTAATGCAAATATCTGATATGCAGGATATCTGATATGTGACCCTTGTGAAAGTGTCTTTCGACCCATAAGAGTTGTGACCCACAGGTTGAGAACCACAGGCAGACATGGTGCTGGAGCAGTAGCTGAGAGCTTATATCTGATCCACAGGCCCAAGACAGAGAGATAGAGCTAAGTGAAACGGTGTGGGCTTTTGAAACCTCAAAGCCCACCCCTCGTGACACAGTGCCTCCAACAAGACCACACCTCCTAACCCTTCCCAAACAGTTCCACCAACTTCAGACCTAGCATTCAAATATATGAGACTATTAGGGCCATTCTCACTCAAACCCCACAGAAAGGAATCATCTGGAGGCACTTAGCACAGCTTCTCACCACATAGCTTGACTTCCTGGAGCAAAACATGAGAAAAGAGGAGATGTAGAAGTTTCCTGACCCAGGTGTTTGAAGAGGCTGCTGTTAGATTCTGACCTAAATGTATGATTCTTCTCTACTCTGCGTCTGCCAGTGAGGAAAGGGACAGGGTTAGAAAGGTGTCTTTCCTTGTGGCCACTATGGTCACTGTTTAAATAAAACTGGAAAACTGGGAATATAACTTAGTGAGTCTTCTTTGTAGACTTTCTTCTAATTCACCAACTTGCTTGGAAGTGTTATGTCCAGATTGTGGGAACCCCCCCAAAAAAGACTACCTACCATGGAGACTGAATCCCATATGTAAAAGCAAAGAACCTTTATTTCATGCTCAAAGCTTGGTCCCTCTGTCTGTGGTGAGAGCAGAGAGCCTGCAGCCCAGGCAGGGTTAGGGTTTTTATCATAGCAGAGGTTAGGGTGAGGGGATTTCTAGGGTTCAGGACCCTAATTGGCTGACATTTGTCTAGGGGTATCTGTAAAAGGGAAGTAGGTGTGTGCTAGGTTCAGAGACATCTGGCGATCTTATCTAATCCTACCTGGATGGTTGGAATGTTTGAGATGTCAGGTTCTTCCCCTTAGATGCTGGCCCATCCCTGGGTGGTGTCAGGTTTTGGCTTTTCCTAAATCCAGGTGTTTCCTGCCAGTAAGCCTGTCATGGCAGCTGTGTGGTCAAGCTGTTTTGGGCCCCCCATAGAAGATGGCCATGTGTCTTGATCATTGTTCTATTGCTCTGAAGAGACACCATGATTAAGACAACTCTTATAAAAGAAAGCATTTAATTGGGGGCTTGCTCACAGTTGTAGAGGTTTAGTCCATTTTCATCATGGTGGGAAGCATGGCAGCATGGATGGCAACACTGGAGGAGTAGCTGAGAACTACAAACTTATCTGTAGACAGAGATCCCTGGGCTTTGGAAACCTCAAAGCCTACCCCCAGTGACGCATTTCCTCCAGCAAGGCCACACCTCCTAATCCTTTTAATCCTTTCAAATCCTGCTAGTCCCTGGTGACTAAGCATTTAAATATATGCACATATGGAGGCCATTGTTATCCAAGCCACCACAACATGACACATCTGTGCCCGGCTGGTCTCCTGAGAGGATTCTTTCAGTTGCAGAAAGTGACAGGAGTTGGTAACAGGTGATTAAGAGCCTGACTGTTGTTAGAAAAGAAACCTCTAATATCATTTCCTTTTCTCACTTGCCATTTGGTTGTCTGTTCTGGCCATCACGGTGGCTCTAGCCTATTGTGACAGGTATTTGAGAGGCTGAGGTGGGAGGAAGGCTGGAGCCCATGAATTCTAGACTAGCCTAGGCAACACAGTAAGTGAGACCCTGTCTCAAAAACCAAACAAAACGTAGGTATTCTTACGATCTTTGAAGTGGGGTGTGTACTAGTTGGTGTTCTGTCTCTGACCAGACTGTTGGAGCCCACTAGGTCTCCTAATGGCTGTACCCAGCAGGGCTGCATAAGAGATTGATTGGACCACGGGCCTGGGTACCACGTGACTGTAACTAGCAAGGAGGAGGTCTTTTGCTCCACCCCTTGGCATTGTTATAAACAGACCTTTGGAATAACGTTCTGGGCGGGTGGATAAGGATCCAGGTCCGCTTGAATCTATCCTGTGTTTTCTCTCTGTTTCCCTCTCCTCTCTATTTCTAACTAAGTCTCTTATCCCTCATTCTTCAAGAGTTCCTGGGGTAAATAAGTGTGGGGGCTGGTCCTCTACATGTGATGAAATACTTGATCAATTTATAAGGAAGAAAGATTTCTTTTGACTCATAATTTCAGAGGTTCTAGTCCTTGTTCAGTTATTTCTGTTGCTTTTGGACCTGTGGAGAGAACATTATTGCAGGGTCCCAAGCTGCTTATCTCATGGTGACTAGGAAGCCTAGGGGGAGGGGCTAAGGTCTCAGTATTCCCTTTAAGGGCACCACCCCCAGAGACCTCACTTCCATTCACTAGTCTCCATCCGGTAAAGGTCCCACCACCTGCCAGTGGTGCTCCAGGCTGGGGGCCAAGGCTTTAATATATGGGCATTTGGGGACATTCAAAATTTGAACTATAAGTACCTCCTTCGGAGAACTGTGAATAAAGCCATTAACACAAAGCTCACACTATTGTGCTAGCCTGCGGAAGGCAGTGTTTGTAGGTTTTGGTTTTTTTTTTTAAAGATTTATTTCTTTATTTTGTACACAATGTCCTGTCTGCATGCCAGGAGAGGGCACCAGATCACATTACAGATGGTTGTGAGCCACCATGTGGTTGCTGGGAATTGAACTCAGGACCTCTGGAAGAGCAGCCAGTGCTCTTAACCTCTGAGCCATCTCTCCAGCCCCATTTTTTTTAATTATTAAATTATCATAACTTCAATTCAGAATTTGCTCTCTTAGCAGGCTGTATTTACCAAAACATCCAATCACTCAAAACACTGCGTTGATAGTGCTTTTCTCAGCATTTAGGAAGAGCAGATTTAGTCATAGTCTTGGGATTTAAAGGGTAACAATCTAGAGAGATGCCACCAGAGGATCAAGATGGATTTTAGAAGGCAAACATCTACAAATGAGAAAGTAAAAAATCCTTCATGCTTGATTTCAGTCCTTGACAAAGTTCTAAACAGCTTTTGTTTTGGGGTGATAGGGTCTCGCAACGTTGCCCAGGCTGGTCTCGAACTTGTAGGCCATAATCTCCACTCTTGAGTAACTGCAACTAAAAGCTTGTGCTACCATGCTGCATGCCCAGGATACATCAGACACTACTCCGAAGGATCAGAGCACAGACAAAAATACCTGCCCAGTGGTTTATATCCCCAGGCTGTAAAAGAACACAGGAACAAAGTGTGCTAAAATGTCCTGTAATACATGCTACACGAAAATGAAAATGTTCAAGGTAAGGAATGTGATCAGGTTGGCATTTTAATTCAAAGATGGTATCTGAACAAAGACTTGAGGGAAGTGGGAAGTCATGCCTGTGGATGTCTGGAGCAAGAGTGAATCAGACAGATGGTACAGCCAGTGCGAAGGCCCTGAAGCAGCAGCAGGGTTGAATATAGTATCTGCCAGCGTGAAGACAGTTGTAGTTGGGCAGGAGAACGTCATTAGGGAGAGGCAAAGGGGTACCAGGATAAGTGTGACCTTCCCCTGAAGGCGAGGGTAGCCTCAGATTGCAATTCTTTTGCAAGTTTTTCTCCAGCTCTCCGGTCCTCCCAGACTACCCTGTGGACTTTGAACTTGTCAGCTTTAACAGCTTTATGAGCTGACTTCTTGAAACTGACCCCCTCCTAACATACATGTTTTATTCGTTCTTCTTCTCTGGAGAACACTAACACACATGACCTTTCCTCTACGTTCATGTATATACATGCCACTTCAGAGGCTTAGTGGATAGGTACCCTTTTGTGTGGTCCAGAGAATAATTTTTAGTAACAATCTTTTTAGTTTTGAATGAGTGAGTTTATTAAATCACACACACACACACACACACACACAAAACATAAAGAGAAATATCATCAAATCAGAAACTCAAACGTCCAGTAGAAACTGGCCAGGGAAGCCGCTTTAAGCCAGCCTGCTGGAGTTTCCAGTAGAGACAGTCTGGGGCAGAGCAGAACATCCCCTGGGTGAGACTTCCAAGTAAAAGAATGAACAGCAGAAAGGTTAATATCGATTTGGGGGCTTATGAACATCCAGCAAAAATCCATTGGGGAAGTTGAGGCAGTTGGCTGGAGTTCTCAAAGTGAGATTTTCTCCATGACTAATCTTCCCATGGCCAAGCTTCTGGTTTCTCTTTCTCACAGTAGGCACAATAGCATGGGATACGTATTATTAACATCCATTGGAAACAGCTCATCTTCACTGGTCCTCGAAGACACAATATTTTTACTTACGGCTGTATAGATGTAACCAACTGTCTTATTAAATAAGAAATACAGAACCGATGCAAAGAAGAAAGCCAAGAGGTCAGAGCTAAGAGCCTTACCCGCCTGCTGTAGCTAGCCTCTTAAGCCAAGAGACCTCTCTGAAAAAAGAGACCTAC